CTCCCTGGACAGCCACGGCGCGCGCGCCGCCAGCAGACACAGCCGCGGGCCGCCCCCGCGGGCCAAGCAGGACTCGGCGCCCCTCTAGGGCCCGCCGCCCCGCCGCGCCCCACTGTCTGCACGGAGCACGGAGCCCGCCGCTGGGAGAGGAAGGAGGAGACAAAGAAATAAAAATATTTTTATTTTCTATAAAAGGAAAAAGGTATAACAAAATGTTTTATTTTCACTTTAGCAAAAATTGTCTTATAATACTAGCTAACGGCAAAGACGTTTTTATAGGGAACCTATTTATATGTAACATCCTGATTTACAGCTTCGGAAAAAAACAACAAAAAAAGAGAGATGGGCCAATTTTTTGACTCTTTACTAGAAACCTATATTGTGGTGCCTTTTGCTGTACGCTAATCTGGAGCTCCTGGAGAGAGTCTGGGTAGCAGGGGCCGGGACGCTGACCCTCCCCTCAGGGCAGCGGGTGGGGGGCCTGCCCAGGCGGCTACGGGGCGGGGCGCGCCGTGGGGGGCCCGGAGGAGGATGTGAGGACGCCATGGCGTGGCCCGCAGCGCAATCTTGTGCCCGGGATCCCCGGCCTGCAGCGGTGGAGCGAAAGTCAGGTAACTTCCAGGGGGAGACTCAGGCCCGGCGACAGCATCCAGAACGGGGCAGGGGCCTCCCCGCGCCTCACAGCTGCTACGGAAGGGGGGGCGCTGAGGAAGCCGCTCCTGCGCCGCGCCAGGGAGGGGCAGCTCTGCGGGGGGGCCCCCAAGTTCGTGGCTGCTCCTCCCCCAGGGCCTCCAGGACGCCCTCCGTCCTCTGCAGCACCTTCGTTTACAGGTCGACTTTTCTATTTTACGCCTGCATGTCCTTTGCATTTCAGAATCTAGATTGGATGCATGGTCACGCTGGGACCACGAAGAGCCACTCGACAGTGTATTTGAGTCCCCTCTTAGCAATAAAGTAACACCATTTCCCTCCCGCCCGAATCCGGCCCTCAGCGCACCTCCGACTTCCACTCCCTCTCCAGCCCTGCCCCCCCAAACTGGGTCCACCGCTAATTTGTCGACAAGGTAACTGTTAAAAAGAAATCCGAAACAAATAAATGGGAACCCGGCCCTGAAATGTCCAAACTCCTGACTGTTGACACTTGAACATTTTTATATTATAAATAAAATCAGAAAGAACTCATGTTTGACTGTGTGTGCCTGGCCCAGGTGAGGTGGGAAGGTGCAGGCCGAGGCGGAGCTAGGGGAGCTAGATGTGGGCTCCCACATTACAGAGGGCACCCCTGTGAGGAAGGGCCCCTCCTCCAGCCCCCTCACCCCAGACCCCACCACCACCACCACCACCACCACCACCACCACCGTTGCTGCTCCCCCAGGGCTGTTAGGGCACCCGGCCACGGGGCTGACGCAAAGACTCTGCTCTGAGCTCATCCTCAGAACCCTCCAGTTCCTGCCCTGCAGCCACAGGGGCCGGACTGAGGCAACAGTTTCCCGGCCTAGGTGGGTGAGAAGGGAGGGGGTGTGCACTTGGCACCAGGGCAGCTGGGGCAAGATGACCCTTGCGGCCTCGGGCTTGTCACAGGCAAAGTCTGGACATGCAAGGTGGCATAATGGGTACCCCCCACCCCCGCTGCCAGGAGGGCCACAGCTGCTGCAGCTTGTAAGCCCACAGGGCATTCGCTTTCCCCAACTTCATATCCCCTCGGTGCCAGGGCTTGTCTAAACCTGCAGCCCTGGTGAAGAGCGTGATTTCAGGCAGAAGGCGGCGTGGAGGGCCAGCGTTAAGAAGCCCGTGCCGGCGTCCATTATGAGGCCTGTGCCCACTGCCAGGAGCCGTCAGGGTCCAGCCCGACCCCAGGGAGCCATCCGTCAACGGCGCACAGGTGGCTGTGTGTGCCCTGGCACGCGGTGGCCCCCCAGGCCTGCGCGGCCACTGTGGGCACGACGCGTGGGAGGGACAGTGAGGCCTGGGGTTCAGGGGGCTCAGGTCGCAGGGGACCTTAGTTCACATGGCAGCTCTGTCCCTCGCTAGCGGTGCCACCGCCCGGGGCCCACGTGTCCTCAGCTGTGAAACAGTGACGCTAATCCCCACCTCAAGGCTGCTGTGGAGACGACACGCCCAGAGCCCAGAGTTACCTCTGGCACTTGATGCCTATTAATGGCTAATTTGACGGCAATGACTATGCAGTGCTGTGCATTCTTGAATCACACTAAATGGCAAAACCTGGTTGAAGTTGTCACTGTGCCGGTGCTGGGAACGTCCCCAGCTCCAGACAAAGGGAAATAAACTACATGTTGCTGATACATAAACATGCAAATCACTGAGCTTTCCCAGTCCCCTCCTGATGCGCTCACCCAGATCCTTATTCCGGTTCCGGTTCCGAGTTTGTTCTTGGGCCTAAATTTTTCTCAGAACCAGTAATTGCTCTAAATAGAGCCATTTGGCAGCAATTAAGCCAGTTTAATTGAGGCTTAATTGAGGCTGACCTCTGCGTGAACTCACTGACCTTTTCGTGACCCCAAGTAATTAAGCTTGACCTTTCCGTGACCCCACCGAAACTTGAAAATCAAAAATCCCTCCATGACCTCTCCATGACCCCAAATGGGCTGAATGACCTCTCGGTGAACTCACTGACCTTTCTGTGACCCCGAGTAATTAAGTTTGACCGCTCAGTGAACTCACTGACCTTTTCCTGACCCCAAGTAATTAAGACTGACCAATCAGTGAACGTATTGGCCATCACATGACTTCATTTGCTATTTTCATTGCCTGTTCTATAATTTAGACTCTAAATTAGTACCTTGCCGCTTCCTAGTTACCTCAGCTGCAGGTAGCAATGCAATGTCGGAGCAGGTGTAGCCAGAGGAGAACCTTCTGCGCCCTCCTCTGACTCTCTGCCCCAGGGCACTGTAGTAGGAACTGAGAGGTGGTTAAGTGACAACCCAGCCCCTGTGACGTCCCTACTGTCCCCTGGGTCCCCCCCACTCCCCTCACCCTTCCCCCCGCCCCAGCAGTACTTAGGACACTGAGGCTGCTTGAGTCAGACACTTCTCCACTCCTCCTATCCTCTCTTCAGGGTCACTTCTGCCCGGTGTCTCCAGCCCTCCCAAAGTTCCATCTGGTGACTGTCCCCTGTCGCCCCAGACTGTGCGCCCCATGTGGACAGGAAACTGATCCAATCCTTTTCTCAGCACAGTCTCCCCAGCAAGCAGTGCAGTTAGCCTTCATAGAATGAGAAGATGAAGGCTCTACAGACTCTGGTCAACAGTGAGCCCCCAGGAGACCAGAAGCCCGGGGTTGCTTGCCACACAGACCACCAGTGGCGTCCCATGCTCAGCCCTCCAGCCCCGGGACTGGACAGTGCTGGAAATGGGCATATAAAGGGCGGAGGCTGTGGGAAATGTGACGGGCCACTAGAATGCAGGAAAAAGCATTAGAACTTTGATTTAGATTTATTTCCATCTCATCTTTTTTAAATTTCTATTTTTGTGTATGTTTTATAATGTACATAATATTTTAGTACAGTAGTACATGTATATAATTTACAATAAATAATTATACAATTAAGAAAGTGAACTAAAAATTTTTTCACTGCTGGGAGGCACAACTTGTGCTCAGGGAAGCACATCTGTCTGCGGCAGACAGAGCTCGCTGTTCCGCTTCTCTCACCCGCCGGCACAAGGTGGAGCTGACCCCAAAAATCAAGGGACCTTCGAGGTAGCCGTGGAGAAAATACAAAGAGCTCTTTCAGGTTGCCGTGTTGCTCTTCCAATTTCATTTAAAAGAACACTTACTTCCCTTCAGCAAAACAAAGGGGTCAGATGGTTTGATTATAAAATACACTTAAACGGATCCAAATTAAATAATCTGGATTTAACTCACTACATCGCTCCACAGACTCACACGTCCCCTGGCATCCAATGTGAGAGGGCTTGGAAATGCTGGGTATTGAGTTGCAAGGTCGACTTATAAATTACATGTATCACCATGGAGGTCAAATCTCTGGCCAGACTATGGTAATGTGTCTCAAAAATATGATCCACTCCTCGTAGCTGCACCGAGGGTGACATCACCCCCACCTCTTTTGTCAGTCTGAGGAATGCAGAGTTTAAGGAAACTAGTGTGTGACAAATTGCTGTTCTTCCCAGACAAGTCCTTAGCTAGTGTTTTGAGTCACTACAAGACTGAAAGAAATACCACCCTAGAAAACAATCAACAACTTGTCGTTCCACCTTTTCCAGAGACCAACCCACAGCCTTTCCCCACCAAATGTCTTTGGGCTGGTTGAGAAGTGGCTACGTGCAAGGCAGGCTGTCTTTTATTCCTGTGGCAGATCTGTGCAAGCGCCACTCCAGCGCTCAGAGCCCTGGCAGCAGCAACATAAAGACCAGAACATTATTCATAGGGCCATGATCCCAGCCCACTGCGCCGGGGCACCTGCAGGACAGACAGGTGGCACAGGACACACAACATCTATTTCAAAGCATCGACTAGAAGAGCAGATAAGTCACAGGTCAGTCGGAAGAGGGGGAAGGTGGCCCTGAACCTTTGCTCCCAGGGTTCAGGGCAGCCCCTTGGGCATAGTTCTGAAACAGGCCTTTCCTTCATCTTACTTCATCCTCTGATAACAGTTCCAAAGCCATCTGTAAAGCAGTTCCTTATATATATAATTTTTATATACATATACATTTATGTCCGTACAAAAGAAAACAGTGGTGACCTCAATGGATGAGGGCGGGTGGACACCCACGTGAGTGCAGACAGCTTAGCGCTGAGGGAGCAGACCCAGGTCCTGCCTCATTGTGACGTGAGGCGGGAGTGTGGGACGGTCCAGAGGCTGCTGGAGGGAGGGAGGAGTGGATGGTGCTGGTGGTCTGCAGACCTGCTGCTGGTCAACTCAGAGGGAGGAGGCGAAGGGGAAGCGTCCCAGCTGAAACCTGGGGTGACCTGCCCTCAGAAACTAGGGGAATGAGGACAGGAAGTTGTGAAGAACAGGGGGGCCTCCTAAATCAACAGCTCTTCCCGCTCCTCCGGTGACGTGGTGTCCAGAGCACGCACAAACAGGCTCCATAGCGGGCAGGGATGCCAGGACCAGGAGAAGGCCAAGGCCCAGAGACACCTGGGATGTAAGATCATGCCCTCAGCAGTATCTCCAGCTCCTCTGTCTGTGGGGCTTTCTTGCCGCCGGCTACCCACCAACTTCCTGGGGCTGGTCTCGGTGGCCCCTGCCTAGAATTGTGCTCACTGGCCCCTCTGGGGGCATCTGCTGGCGCCTGGGCCTGCGGGCTAAGTCTCAGGCCCACTGGCATTCTTTGAGGTCTTGCTGCCAGTCACAGTTCCGTGGCCCTGGCTGAGAGCAGGGCTTGAGTGTGTCTTGCGAAGAGAAGGGTCATCCCCTTCCAGGGTGGCCAGCCGGGCCTCGATCCGCTCCAGGTCATCGGAGCCCACTTTGATTTTCACAGCCAGGAGGTGGGTGTAGGTCTCATAACGGCTTTTCTAGGGAAAAGGCGGAAAAGGCAAAAAAAAAAAAAAGTCAATGACAAAATGTAAAAACTACTTGTACCTTTTATGACAGAAGACTAATTTCGTTAATTCTCAGAGAGCTCTCACAAGTCAATAAAAAGAATGTAATTGGAAATCATCCAATAAAAATATCAGCAAGAAAAGCAGATATTTTACCCCTAATTATAAAAATCCAAATCTATTGGCAATGACTTCTCAGAACACTAAAAGCACAGGCAATACAACTGAAAATAGGCAACCGGCTTTACAGCAAAATGTAAACCTTGTGTGCGTCAAAGGTCACAGTGAGTAAATGGGATAAAGGTAATGGGGAGAGCGGGAGAAAACAGCTGCAGATCACAGTCCGCCAAGTGCCCAGTGTCCGGAATCCACGTCACAGCCACGCCCCAACACTGACACCCCAGCTTAACAACCACAACATCCTTCGATGGATATTTTTCTAAATTACATATCTGGCCAATGAGCACAAAACACTCAACATCACGGATCGTGAGGGAGATGCAAATCAGAACCATGAGACCCCCGCAGCCCTTAGGACAGCTGCTGTCAAAGAGTAGATGACAGCAAGCCCCGGAGAGGAGGAGCAGGAGCCAGCGCCCACACGGGAGTGCAAGCAAAGTCTCTGTGGAGAACAGCGGCTGGTCCTCAAAACGTGAAAACATCACCCCATGGTCCTGCAGTACCGTATCCGAAAGTATTACAAGCAAGGTCTCAAAGGCTTATCTGCACGCCCAAGCTCACAGTGTTATTCAAAACAGCCGAAGATGACAGCAGCCACGGGCAGGCAGCAGAAGAAAGACCAGCGACCCGCGGTGGCCCACAACACAGGATTCCACCAGCTTCTCCCACGCAGGGAAACCTGACACCCGAGGACATGGCGCTAAGTGACAAGCCGGTCCCCAAACACAAATGCAGGACGAAGTTCCTAGTTGAACTCAGCAGACCTCGGGGGCTGGCGAGCTGGTTTGCGGGGTTGTTCAGGAAGCTTCAATTAGGAAAAATACAGCTCTGGGACATGGGCAACTAAATGGTCCACTTAAAAATGGCTAAGAATAATAATCATGCTGTATTTTATCATGATTAAAAATACTTTGAATCCAAATTAAAATAGCAAAGCACCATTGGTGAAGCCTTCCAAGTGGTGACGGCCGAGACACTCGCTAACACCCAGGGCTGGGGAGGGCAGGACGAGACGGTGTGGGCACTCCCTAGGGAAGCGCTGTGGATCGTGACCGTGTCTGAGTTGTTAACTCTGACCTTCAACCTAGCACCACCTCCTAGTGGGGTACTGGGGTGCTCAGGCTGGAGAGGAGGGAACAAGACAGATGGAAAGAAGAAGGGGCCTGGGGGTGTGAGGGACACAGGTACCCAACAGGTGCCACCACATGGCAGCTGCATGACATGCTTTTCTAACGGCTTTTCTAGGGAAAGGGCGGAAAAGGCAAAAAAAAAAAAAGTCAATGACAAAATGTAAAAACTACTTGTACCTTTTATGACAGAAGACTAATTTTGTTAATTCTCAGAGAGCTCTCACAAGTCAATAAAAAGAATGTAATTGGAAATCATCCAATAAAAATATACATTCCAATTTTATTCTTTTTCTGCCACCACATGGCAGCTCCCTGACTGCCCAGGGGAGCCCCCAAGCGGGAAGCCCAGACTGAAAGCCTGAAAGCCGCTGGCCCTGGAATGATGTGGCCATCGGAGGTGGGGGGGGGAGCTGGCCGCGCCTTCTCTGCGCTGGCTTCTGTCGGTGGGGCTCACCTCAAACGTGAGATAGTGCTCCTTCAGCCGGCTCTCCTCGGCCTCCCTGGACTTGCTGCCCCTCTCAACAGGGTGACGCCTGTGCTCAACCAGCTCTGCGGTCACCTGCCGCAACTTATTCTCGTGGGAACGCAGCTGCTCCTCCTGTAAGACAAGCCCTGGACTGTGAGGCCCACCCAGGTCTGCGCTGAGCCTGTGTCCCAAAAAGAAACAGAGGCCTGACGGGGTCGTCCCAAACATGCAGGTAAAACATGGACCTGAGGGGGACGCTCACGTCATGAGCCCCCACACTGTATGGACACACAGACACCCCCATACCAACAGCATCACCCAGGCGCACCGGTCCCGGCTCACCCAGACGCTTGCACACTCACATTCATACCCAGAGGCAGAGGACCGAGGCCCAGCTCACACCCGGGCAAGCAGACACACCGTCACTCACGCACAAGTGTGCCATGGCAGTGCAGCCAGACCACCCACTGTGGGGGTACACCAGGGGGTGACCAGGCAACATCTGCCCCTTGGCCTCATCTCCAAGCCCAGGACCAGGCGCTGTGAAGGAGCGGAGGGCCGGTGTGTGAGCGGGGGCCGGGGGGGTCAGCTGTGGGCTGTACCTGGCAGAGGCGCGTGGTGCAGGTGGGCAGCAGAGGCCGGCAGAACTTCTTCATGGAGCTGACCGCCGCCGGGAAGGCAGGGGCCGAGAAAATGGCGGCCACCAGGTTGATCCTCAGGATCCAGGACAACATTTCTTCCTTGCTCCTGGGAGGACAGGGCTTCTCGCAACAGGGCTCCAAGGCCCCAGCCAGCACCCACTGCCCACCCTAGCCTGGCCCCGGGGAACACAGATGCTCATACGGCTGAGAAAGAAGAGAAGGGCGCTGGGTGGCAAGGTTAGGTGGGCTGGGGCACTGGTGTGAGCAGCCGCCATCTGCCCCGGCTGCTGTGTCATGTGAAAGTGAAGCTGCCGGAGCTCGGAGCTAAGGACCCTGGCGCTGAGGGGTGCCAGACCCTGACCGGGGGACAGTTCGATGCAGCCCGGCACCCGGAGCCGGCACTCGGCTGTCCTGCCCCCGCCCCACTTCCCAGAACGGTGTACATGACATGAGCGCTCATCTAGCCTCACCCCTCCCAGGCTCACTAGAGGCTGGAAATCCCAGTCTCAACTCATAGGACAATGGGGTGCAGGGGGTGCATGCAAGGCCCAGAGGGAAACAGTGAGGCGAGTCTTTCCTTCTTCCCCTGCCCACCGACAGTCGAAGATTCATAAAGACCCATCTGCCGCAGGTTAGGGATTCAGCGTGATGTGAATCACCTGCAGGCTTGTTGAAACGGGGAGGGTCACAGCCAAGAACACAGACCTTGCAGGCATTATGAAAAGGAAATCAGAGAAAGACAAATGCTGTCTGCTCTCCCTAACATGCGGGATCTAAACAGAGTCATAGGAAAAAAGAGACCAGATCTGGGGTCACCAGGGCCGCGGCAGGGGGAGGGGGTTGGAGGAAGCAGCGTCAAAGGTCCACACTTGTGGGGCCCTCCCTGGTGGCGCAGCGGGTTAAAGCACAGCACTGAGAAGCTACAGCCGCTTCCGCATGAGTTCGATTCCCGCCTGCCCCGGAGGTGACCACATGGCGGGGCAGACCTCTCCTGACCCGCCCGCTGCTCCCCTCAACAGTGTACTTCGTTGATCTGCCTGTTCTGCTCCCCGCTCTGTCTCTGGTGAAGCCTCTCGCCGCCCCTGAGCCTCTGGCCTGTACCCCAGCTCTGTATGCACAAATAAATAAATCTTAAAAAAAAAAAAAGTCCACACTTGCAATTATAAGCGGAATAAGTACTACAGGGCTCCGTGTGCAGTGGCAGGGCCCAGTTAGCACTTCTGTGATACAAAGGAAAACTGCTCAGAGAGTAAGTCCTAAAAGCCCATGTTAGAGGAAGACATTGCTTTCTTTTCCTTCTTTTTAGCATATCTATAGGGGACAGTTGTGCCAAACGGCCTGTTGGCCTCAATAAGCAGAAATCCTGCCATCACTGTTTGCCTTAACAGACAGTGATGGACGTCCGTTACTTCTCAACAAAACTGGAGAAAAGAAAACCATGGCCAACAGCTGGTGGTCCCCAGAGCTCCACACTGCGCAGGTCTAAGGCGGGGCCAGGGAAACTGCTTTCCTAACGAGGTCCAGGAGACGCAGGAGACGCAGGAGCCGCGCTGCAAAGCGGTAGCTCCGGCCCCCCACCCCACCCCGCCGGTTTGTCCGGCAGCTCACCTACACCGGGAAGCCACAGCAGGCTGGCTGCTGAGGGACCCCGAGCCGGGGGCGCAGGGGCCCCCACTCCTACTCACGGTGCCTGGAAGAGGAAGACCCTCCAGTCGGCCGTCTTCAGCTTGAGCACGTTGGACTTCTTGCTGTAGTCGGAGGCCCTGGTGGCCAGCGCGTGGTGCACACGGATGGCGTTCTTCAGGTCACCCTCAGACAGCGCTTTGTCAGGCCTATACTCGTCCTGGACAGGCGGGGGCGCAGCTAGTCCCATCACTGCCAGGCGCCCCAGGGGCCCACACTCCCCCACCATTGCAATCCTCCCTCCCTCTCTCTCTCTCTCTCTCTCTCTCTCTCTCTCTCTGCACCCCAACCCCTACTCTCTGTCCAGACATCTCCCTCCATTTTTCAGCTCCAGCTGCCACCACACCCACCCAACCAAAATCACACCCAACAGTCCTCCCTGCACCCCAGCTTGTGGCCCCCTACACAGTACTGATGTTGGGCATCCTCAGAGTCGTGTCCTGACACCACCAAGGCCCTGGGTGAGCCTGACTCAGACCTCTGCGGGAGAGAACAGAGCTACGGGCGGGCGGCGGCGCTTCCTGGACAAAGGCTGGGAGCCGCTTACCTTCTGCAGGTACAGGATGGTCCCTTTGAGCACCGCATAGAATTTCTTCCAGCCACGCCTCCCACGGGGCGCTGGAAAGGGGGGCACGGATAGTGTGGCCGCAACCACCCACCCAGAATCTCCCCCCAGCACCCTCTACATCCCCAGAGGAGTGGCCGTGGGGGCCCCTCCAGGCCAGCGCCCCTCCCCACACCGCTTCCCCCGCCTGACACCCACTCCTCTTGCCATCCATGTCAGCGTGAGTCTTCCGGGTCAGCACGCCATGCTTGTAGGTGGTAGCACTGAGCGCCTGTGGGACATCCAGGAAGGGGTTGCCACCATCCAGGATCCGAGTCACCTTCTTTGTGCCTGTTCCGAACTTGTCGTCCACCAGTTCAGACAGCGATTTCCTCAACTCGTCCTCATCTCTACAAAAGTACTGGGTCTGAGCACCCCTCAGATGTGAGGCTTGGCCTCACATCTGTGTGCCCTCTCCCCACCAAACAGGCCTCTGGAACCAGTTGGAGGGAAAGCACAGAGATGAGGAGGTTCCATTCCAGATCACAGATCCAGCTCTTCAACCCTTCCTCAAAGTCTTTGGTGCTGACCCCTGACCTCTGACCTTTGATTTGCAGCTTCCTGAGCTCCAATCCTCACCCTTTGATCATAACACTGGAGACCTTACTATCTCCAAGCCTCCTTCCTACTCTTCTTTCTCCTCTGCCCACAGGAAGCGATAACCCATGACCAGACTAAAGCCGCTGCCCAAGCCTCACAGGCCTGCAGGGAGATGGCTGGGCCACAAACAAGGCCCATGTTCTAGGCTCCCCTTGGAGTCTGGAGAAACTGCCACAGTGTCCCTGTGGGGCTGGTGCTCTTATCAGTCCTTCTGCGAGAAGGCTCCAAATACTGGGCTGCCCTGGGCTGCACAGCAGGGCAGGAAGATCACTTTTTTCCAGTAAAGTCACCACAGATGGAGAGGCATCTCCAAGTCTTACTACCTTCACAAAGGAAGAATTTAGGGGATAGTCATCTCTCACTGCTCCCAAACCAGCAGCCACCTAAATAGGATCACATTCTTAGGGTTACAGAGGGGACCTGTGACTCTTGCCTGCCTTACCTCCCAAAGGGAAAAAATGGCAATGCCCCCAGTACAGAAATCCAGTTGTGATCTAAAGTCACAGTTCAACCTGTTCCACGGAAGACTATATCAAGACAGGAAATGTACCCAAAGGGAGACTCAAAACTAGGTGCTGACCAGCTGAACAGGAATCTCCAGGACCCTGGGTCGGAAGGGATCAGCACCATGGAGAGTGGCAGGAGCGCCTTCCCCCTCCCCCTCCCAGTGATTCAGTCTTCCCAAACCAGCACCCATGGGCACTACTCACATGGCCCATTCCAGCTTTTCATTCTTGATGGAGTGGTAAAGGGTCTGGGAGAAGGGCAAAGAGAGAGAGGAGGTTCAGACAACAAAATCTCCATCCACCTCTCATGATGAGGATTCAGTGAGAGAACACCTCTGTAGTGGATGGTTCATTCACACCTTTATTGGATTGGGGAAATGAACGCGGAATAGGTAGGTGGATGGTCGTGGAGTTGACTATGTGATGGAGAGATGTGAGCATGCGTGGCTGGGTGGGTTGGTGGACAGTTAGGTGGGTGGGAGAACGGTAGGTGGCTGGATGTGTAGGTGTGAGTAGACGTGTATGGGAGGTGGTCTGGAGCTGGAGGGTGTGCATGTGAGGGTGATGGGTGAATGGGTGGCTGTGTATGCAGGTGAGTGATTGAGTTGGTGGGTGGGGGAATGGAAGGATGAATGCATGGGACCTGGGAGGATGTGTGCATGAGGAGTGGATGAGTAGGTGCTGAGACTGGGATAATCTCAGCTCATTTACAAATGCATTCTTAATAACTGCTTCTAGAGGGTGAAAGAAGTGGCCATGATCAGTAGAGCAATGGGGATAATCTTCTATATTTTAACCACCAGACCCACTCTCCAACTGTCCACCTGTAATCACCAGGTCCTTCAAACCCATCATCAAAAACTGATCTCGGCCCTTCCTGGTGGCACAGCGGGTTAAAGCACAGCACTGAGAATCTTTAAGCCACTTCCTCATGAGTTCGATTCCTGCCTGCCCTGGAGGGGACCACATGGTGTGGCAGACCTCTCCTGACCCGCCCGCTGCTCCCCTCAGCAGTGTACTTCGTCCATCTGCCTGTTCTGCTTCCCACTCTGTCTCTGGTGAAGCCTCTCACCACCCCTGAGCCTCTGGCCTGTACCCCAATTCTGTATGCACAAATAAATAAATCTTTTAAAAAAAAAACTGATCTCATCATCTACTCACCTCAAAAAAAAAACATATAAATAAACTGTCCCTCTCCCTCCAAGGACAAAAACTGACCAGACCTGAAAAACAGGATTTCCACCCTGGTCTAATGCTGCAAAAGAAAACCAGATTCCTTAGGAGGGATGAGAGGGCATTTCCCCATGGTGCTGGCGGTGGTAGTGATGGTGGTCAAAGCGGTAGTGATGGCAGTGGCAGCTGCAAAAAACTGGTGGAGTGCTGAAGATCACCATAGCAGTGATGATGGAATGCTAGAAGTAGATCTCACAAAGCCTGCCTGCAGCCACACATAAGAATACACTGAGTCCCAAAGTCATGGTGGACCTGACTCTGGTACAATGGCCCTGGAATGTCGGGACCTAGCGAGGCAGAACGCTCGCTACTCTCCACCCACCCAGGCACAGCTGGGGTGAGGGTCACGTAGCAGGTCATACCTTCAGCAGGTCTTTGGCAAAGTCTTGGCCATCGTTCAGCTGGTCCAGGTTGGCAATGAACTGCTGGCAGGACATCTTCTTGCCAATGTTCTGTGATGGAGAAAAGGTTCTGCCTGAGAGGCGGGATGGAGGCCGACATGGTCCCCCCACCCTGCCCAGTCAGAAGGGATGAGGCAGAAATGGACAACACCACCAGGATTCCCCTTTGTCTCCAAGTACTCACAAAAGTCTTTCTTATTTGAGCCTCAAGCATCAGGAGAAGGTGGGGTTCACCTCCAGCCCACATGAAGGAGCCAAGTGAAATGATGACCTTTGCCAGGTGCCTGCTATGTTCCAAGCATTTTATTCAACATGCACTTAGCTTGTTTTCTTCTCATAAAGAGAAGGTAAGGTGGGTGTTATTGCTACACCCCTTGACAGGTAAGGAAACAGGTGCAGGAAGGTGAAAGTGATGTGCCCGATCACACAGTAGAACAGTGGAAGAGCTGAGTGTGTCTGACACCAAAGCTCATGCTCCCCCCTGCAACTCCCTGGTTAACTGTCCCCAGGTCACAGAGCACCAGCACTTGAGCTCAGGCCTCTTGGCTCCTCAACAGAAGCTTTGTACCCATCACAACTGTCTCACCTTCTCACCTGTACAGAGGGGCAGCAAGATCTCCAAGAGGTAGGTGAAGCAAGGGAGAGTTTGGTCTTATGAGAATCAAAACTCAATTTCCAACAGCACAACTGGGTACCCCATGCTGAGCTGGGCTGCAGCCACTGAAACCCAAGCAGATGGTGTGACTCAAGGAGACACAAGCGCACAAATCACAGGAATAAGTGTGTCCCCAACTTCTACCTTCTTTTTTTAGTCACTGAGCAGCCAAGAAATCCCAGGCCTCCAACCCCAATAGCTGAAGATATTAGAATACTTTGAGTCTCTCCTTGCGGCACCCACATTTGAAGAAACACTGGATGGCAATTCATCTTTGTGAAGATAAAAGACCCTTTGAAAGGTGTAGGAATTTCTGGACTTCAGGTTTAAGTTTGCTACAAGGCAGTGTTCTCCCAAGATTTATCTATAGGTACAATACATATTTCTCTCTCCTCTCCCCCCCAAAATGAATTTCATCATGAAATAAATTGACATGTTTCAGAGTGTTTAATGCCCTCATAATGTTGGGAGTCTCCAAGAGAGGATTCTGCATGTAGTTTGTCAAATTTATAGATTTTGGCACCATTTTACCAAAAAATAACATATAATACCACATTGTGGGACATTCAAACACCAAAGAAAATAATTCAAAAACAGTGACATAAAAGCAAGTATCTGACAAGTGAGAATTTTCTATACTTTTTACAAAGGGATAATGAAAAAAGATCCTGTGTGTGCCTTGATATCACATGCCTGGTCTGTTCACATATACATGTAGGTATGCACACACACATCTGCCCATTATGAGCATATTCATAGTGGAGGAGAGCGAGAGCAATGTAGAAAATGCTGATTTCCACACACAAAACATTCCCTAGCTATTAGTCACAATTGCAAAATCAAAAAATAATCTGGTAAGATTTCCAATCCTAGTAACAGCAGGCTCTCTTATAACAGACGACCCTCCCCAGCAAAACCAACCACTTGGCAAAATATTATCGAATATTAAATAATAACATTTTCAAATAAATAACAATGTTGACTAAGTATATTAAACATCTGGGTGAGGCAATAAGCATCTGGGGAAACATGAGTCATCATGTCTTCAAGGGTGAAGATCCCACAGAGGATGACGAGGCGAGAGCCCGGCCAGGAGCGGCTCCCCAAGTGCCTGCCAATTCTCATGCAATGGCCAAAAGGCCGAGTGACTGAGTGGCCTGAAAGGGACAGGAAATAGAAAGTGGGGTGCAAGGCCCACCAAGGATCCTGCTCATGCTTCAGCAAAAAAGGTGAAATTAAGAAAGGTAATTCTAAAGGGAGTTCCTCAGACAGAGGGAAAATTATCCCAGGCAGACCTCTCTGCTGGCCTAGGGGTTAAGTCTCAGCGCCTGAGTGTGATCCCCAGCCAGGGAGCTGACGCACATGGCACAGCAGACCTCTCCTGTCTCGCCTGCTGCTGCCCTTAGCAGTGTCTCTCAGTAAATCCACCTGTTCTGCTCTCAACTCTGTCTCTGGCGAATCCTCTCAGCCCCTGCACCTCTGGCCCGTACCCCAGTTCTTCTATGCAAAAATATATAAATGAAATCTTTAAAAAAAAAAGAAGAGTTAAAGCTGTAAAATAGAAGAAAACAGCCCTGGGATTTGGCAATGATTCCCTAGGTATGACACCCAAAAACAAAAGAAGCAGGGAAAAGTTAATAGGTTTGACTTTTCAAATGAAAACTTTAGTGTATGAAAAGAGAGTTCTTGGTGACAGAGTGAAAAGACAAACCACAGAATGGGGAAAAAATGGAAAGTCATTTCTCTAATGAGGAACTAGTATCTTGACTATATGAAGAAATTATTAACTCAACAATCAAAACACAAGCAATCCAATTTAAAAAGGGCAAAAAACTTGAACAGACATTTCTCCAAAGAGAAATGGCCAACGAGCACGCAGAAATACGCTCACATCACTAGTCACTAGGAAAACACAAGTCAAACTATGAAGGGACAGCACTCCATGCCCACTGGGGTGATTGCTACCTAAAAAAAAAAGCCAAAAGATAACAAGTATGGGTGAGGATGTGGGGAAATCTGAGCCCCGTGCACTGCTGGGGGGAGGTGAAGTGGTATCACCTCTGGAATGGTTATTCCTAAAAAGATGGAAAGCAACATACTACTTCTGGGTCTATACCCCCCAAAATTGAAAGCAGGTCTTGAAGGAATATTTGTACAGACACACATTCATGTTGCACTTATAGAGGGCAAAGGCAGAAGCAACCCAAGGTCAGTCACCAAATGAAAAGATCAACAAAATGCAGTGGATTTTAAGGGGAAAAGGAAATTCTGACACTTGCTACAACATGGATGACTCAAGAGGACATCGAGTGACATAGCCAGTCCCCAACACACATTCTGCATGAGTCTACTTACTAGAGTAATCCAAACCACAGAAACAGAACTGGAATGGAGCTGGCCAAGAGATTGGTGAGGAGGGGTGGGAAGGTATCAAATGGGTGAAGAAAGTTCCCAAGACTGGCTGCACAAGAGACCTGACACTACTGCACTATACAACTGCAATTAGTCAAGAGGGAAAATTTACTTTGCAGAGGGCTCTCCCTGGTGGTAAAACGGGTTAAGCACCTCATTATGAAGCTCTTCAAAGCCTCTGCAGCACGAGTTCGATCCCCAGCCAGGGAGGTGACCCACACGGTGTGGCAGACCTCCCCTGCCCCGCCCGCTGCTCCCCTCAGCAGTGTATTTCAGTAGATCTGTCTGTTCTGTTCCCCACTCTGTTCTGGTGAATCCTCTCACCCACCATACCTCTAGCCTGTACCCCAGTTCTGTAAGCATAGATAAATAAATCTTAAAAAAAAAAAAAAAAAGACATACAAAGGACCAAGCAGCACACCAAAGGATTCTTAATCTCATGAGTCGTTAAGGAAAGGCAAGTCCAAACCTGAACCTACCCTAGGCCGATGATGATTTTGAAAAAGGAAACTGAGTGTTGGGGAGGATATGGAGAAACTGGAGCCTTTATACATTCATGATGGAAATTTTGAAAGATTTAGTCACTGCGGAAAAGCTTCACAGTTCCTCAAAAATATAAATGAAGACTCACCACGTGACCAGCTAGTCTACCGAAAACCAGGTGTTCGAACAAAACCTTGTAAACCAACGTTCATAGTCGCAGTCTTCAATAACCACAAGGTAGAAAGACAAAAACATGTTTTTTGCAAGTGGAAAAAATCCAAATACTCACCAACAGTGTGACCTGTCCGTGCCCTGGGCTCGTCCAGCGACAAAGGACTGCTGGGCACGGGCTACCAGCTGGGTGGATTTTGCAAAATCCGTCTGCGCGCGGGGCTTTGACACACACCACGCAGTGTGCCCCTACGTGACATGGCAGAGCAGGCAATGCCAGCGGGACAGGCGGGCGCAAAGGCGCCAGGGGCTGGAAGCATGGATACCGTTTTCATTTGGGGTGACGGAAAGTTCCGGAACTAGGATGGGAATGTTCACCCACTATGTGACTATGCCTAATTCTACTAAATTGTTACCTCTAGTTATGTTGGTAACTTGTGTGTTGTATCACTACGATTTTACAACACAATTAAAAGACTTAACCCAATCAGCACACAGGACAGGACAGTCATTGCCCTCTCTCCAAGCCCGTGGGAGACAGCTACTAATATTGATCACACAGAACAGCAAGACTCAGCAAATTGCAAAGAAGTGAAATCATGCCAACTAAATCATCTGATTTAAAATATAACAACCAAGCAAAATGACATGCATCTAAATCATGATGATCTGGTCCCTCCAAGTTCTCAGCTCTGCCCTTGCTCCACCTCCCTTTGGGTCAGTGGGGTCTCCCAGCCCACCCTTGACCCTCAAACCTGTGCCCACAGCCTGTCCCTGAGTGGAGACTGGAGGGGCAGTAGGGTGCTGCCCAGACTGTCACCCAGATCCTGAAGCTTTGTCATGGCCTCTGACCCTACACATCCAGGCCTTTCCACCAGCCTGGCATGGTGCAGCCAACAATCAAAGCCTGTCTCTAAGGGTACCCCAGAAACAGAATGAGGGGCCAAGGAGAAAGAGAGCATGTCATTCCTTAGGGAGGGGGATCCCTTGTGACTGTTAGCAAATCTAGACCAAACCTAAAATACTTGGGTCCTTGGATGTCATCGCCTTCCACAAGGCAGGTCTTACCTTGAGATGGCATCCAAACCTAAGACCTCCACTATCTAGCCCTAACCACCCCCTCCCGGCACTCCCGCTGCCCCTTCAAGCCACTGAGGTTTAGAGAGATGAAGCTGTTCTGAAAAACAACTCTGTGTCAGCTCTGAGGTTCCCTACCCAGGGTGGGCCCACCACGCAGCCAGGGGCCGAAGCTGTCCTTCTTCCTCTCACGGCCAACCCCACATCAGGTCCTATCCAACGCACACTCAACTGGTCCTCCTCCCTGCCCCCCTCTCTCCACGCCCAGGCCCTGCCTGCCCAAGCCCCCATCATTTCAAACAACCACCGCTACAGGGATTTTTGCAGTCACCCCAGAAGTGACATGAAGTTACCATGTGACCCAGGGGCCCACTAGCAAGCATGGAACTGAAAACAGATGTCCAAACAAAACGCTGGATAGGCGTCCAGAGCAGCACTGTTCACAGCAGCCACACAGGGCGCAGCCTGTCGGGGCCCTCTGCCTGGACCCTGGTCTTCCTGTGGCTGCTCCTGCTCACCCGCCAGTCTGCGCCAAACCTCGGCAGAGAGCCTTGAGCAGCCCACACCCGTCACACCCACCCGCTTGTTCCCGTCACAGGCCTAGGCCTATCTAATCCGTGTTTCCCTGCCCGAGGCAGGGCTCCCTTTCCTCCTTCAGAGAACCCAGACACTGGTCCTTAGAGTGAACGGCGCCTCTTCCAGGGAGCCTCGCAGTCCGTCAGGCGTGTACACCGCACCGTCTCCCAGCCCCTCTACTGCTCCCTTCCATCAGAGCTATTTCTGGGGCCCGAGCCGGCCCCACTGTCCCGCAGTCCCCACCAGCAGGTGCTCCGCCTGTCTGGACAGGGGCAGGGTGAGGTCCCAGGCAGGGCTGCTGCTTCCAGCCCCCGAAGAGCTCACGGTACCGCAACCCCCAGGGCAGGTGCTGCACTTGCGCCTCACAGGGACTCAGCGTGGGGAAACCAAGGCCTACGGAGCCAGCAACTTCACCCAAGTCACACAGCCGCCGTGTGGAGACATGCAGACAACCAGGACCCTGCCCAGGTGTCCAACTCCAGAAGACAGGCCCCAGCGTCGGGGGCATCAAATCTGAGTGCATGGCGCGGCGTTTGCCCACGCTGGCCCTGCCGGGGCTGACGTCCCTCGGCATCTTCCACGAACACAGGGTCCCCTGCTCGGGGGTATTTCAGCGGGCCTGACCGGACAGTGCCTGTCACCCTTGTTAGCGGTTCTAAGTCTTGGGGAGGGGCAGCCGGGGCTGGGTGGGTGAGGAGGGGGTGTGCTACTCCATTGGAGGTGCACTAGCAACACTCAGTCCCCGCAGACAAACACACTGAGCAGTCTTAGAGGGACAACGCTGGCCGAGGGGCCTGAGCTCTGGTGACAGTGCCGGGAGGTCACACCCGCTGTGGCTCCACACTCTGGCCGCAGGTCAGGTGGACGTCAGCATAGCCTTCCCGCCGAGGTCACCCTGTGGCCATTCAACTTCCAGGCAGCAGCCTTCCTGTTCTTGAACCCCTGGGGATCTGCAGGCTGGACCCCAGGCTCTCCGTCATTAAATGTTAACAGAAGTAATGAGTGTATTGCTTTTCTTCCTTAACATCACCCCCAAGAAAATCCTCACTAGGAGCCAGACCCCGCCAAGGGTGGCACGCCTATCACCTGCAGCGGCTTCATGGCAGTGGGGGCTCCTGGGACCCCACTGCAGTCGCGGCGGGCCCAGCTCTGCCGTCCACCCTCCCTTTCCTGGACTGTTCTGGTTATCTCTGGCAGCTAGCCGCCTGCCGCCCCGAGTCACTGGAATGCACCCCACTCACGGGACCACCCCTGGTGAGTAATGAGGGGCAGTGAGTGGGGGGCCAGATGGTGTGATGGCACATACAGGTAACATGGAGATGGAGGGGCCAGACTCATGGGCATGCACACCGCCAGCTACACTTACCACCTGAGGGGGGCAAGAGAGCCCAGAGAGGGGTCCCCGGAGCAGAGAGGAAAGAAGAAGGAGTTACTGAGTCATGAGCAGCACTGACACGGACCAGGCCTGGCCAGTCAGCTGCTTCACAGCCCCAGGCCCCCCGACCAGTCACCTCGCTGTTTGCCTACTGGGGAGGGGGGCGAGGAGAATGAATTCTGAGGGATCCCCTCATTCAGCGGGGGCCACAGCCAGCCTTGTGGGAGAGGGCAGGACCCCTGTGTGCCTCCCCTATTCGCATAGTCCTGCTTGGAGACAGCGACACAGGAGGACCAAGGCTGGAAGCCCAGTCAGTCGCTGCACTCCGAGTTCTGCTAGAAGAAATGTGGTCACTCAACAGGAGGCCTCGGAATAGGGTGGCAAAGGGGCCGGCCCCGGGAAAACTGGGGTGGCATAGTGAGAAGATGCGCCCCTCCCCCCACCCCTCCCGCACCCCATCCTGCTGCTCCCCCACCCTGCTGCCTCCCCGACTCACATGTCCGTGCAGGTCCGTGTTGAGCAGCATCAGGGCACAGGTGAGCGTGTGGATCCCATCTAAACGAGATGTGCCTCCTCAGAATGAAGGCCCAGCGCCTGCCCACCTGTCCCCTGGAGGTCTTGGAGGCAGAGCAGGCCGCCGCCAGATCTCGGGGCCCAGTGGGTGATGCCCGGCTCTGCCCCCATGCAGCATGGCAGCCTCTTGTCCATCCCAAGCCACGGCCCGTCCCTTCTTCACAGGGGACCTGGCCACCCTGGACCGGCTCTAGCCTGGACACCTGCCTCCGAGGGCCAAACTGGCCTCGAATCTCAGCCCCAGAAAAGCTGTGGGCCCTGGCCCACACCCCTCCATGGCCTGTGTCTGTCCATAGGGCAAGTCCTGCGCCCAGACCCCGCACCGACTCGCCCACCACACCAAGAACTGTCACTGTGATGGGCCTGATGGGACCAGGGGGAACAGAACTATGAAGCGCTGAAGCTATTCCTAGGATAGAGGACGTACAGGCACGGGAGAGACCATGGGGGAGACAGGTCCAAATGAGACCGCTCCCGCTCCCGTGGGCCGCGGTCTGCTCACCATGTCACTGAGCAGGACGGAAACGGAAACGGCAGGTGGAAGGCAGGAGGCAGCGGCTGGCTGGGGGGCCGGGCCGGGGCCGGGGTCTTACCTTCCGAGGTGCTACTGTCCGGGTTGCACTGGCGGTACCGGCGTGAGAAGTGTGTGAGGACCCGCTCGCGCTCCTGCGTCTCCCCCATCAGCGGGAAGGCCTTTAGGAAGGTTCTGGGAGGGGAGGGGCAATTCAAGGGTGCTGCAGGTCCCCCAGAGCCCCAGTCAGCCTCAGTCCTCACGCGGGTGGGAGCTCCCTCACACACACCGCACACAGACCTGCCTGGGGTGCTGAGGCTACAGCACCCCTGCACCTTGGCCCCAGGACAGCCGCCAGAGGGTGGGGGCCAGGGAGCCCGGGAGGATTTAGCATTGCAGCCCACCATCCAGGGGCCTTTGGGAAGCCGGCGGGGGGGTGAGCTGGGAGAACACAGACAGAGGAGCCGCATAGCAGTCCTCCAGGGTGGAAGACCACACCTCACTCCAGACTGTCCCCACCTCCTCCCCTGATCCTCCTCGGTCTCTCCATCGTCCTCAAGCCATAGTGGAGACACAGGCTGGAGACGCAGGCCATCCTGGCACCCTCACCGAGGCTTGTCCCCTCCTCCTCCTGTGCTGTGGTCGGACGCCAGGACTCCCACAACAGCACAAACAGGTGGCCCCGAACCTCTCTGCACAGCACCCCCCTTGCTGACACTGAGTGGTCTTCCACAATCCCCCCTCAAAGCCCAGTTCAAAAGGCATCAGCTCTCAAGGTTCCTGGCAGGTGACCTCAAACTCAGAGTAGCTAGGAGACAAGCTGGGGTCCCTCAACTAGGGCCTAAGAATGCCCCAGCTCTAGGAAAGGAAGTTGCAGCTTTTGGAGTCCCCGGGGCCTCTGTCTACAGTTCCAGAGCAGAGTATTCCTCCTTTTGCACGGTCTTGCTGGAGCTCGTCTGTTCTGACTCAAAGTGGCCATCACGCCCACCTACCGTATTCTCCCTCACACTGTTCCTAAGGCACCTGAGACCTGCAAGTTCCATCTCGGCCAGTCCATGCACTCTGGGGTGTGCCAGAGCACCCCAAGACTACAGACTATTCAACCCCAATCACTAGACTGCAATACAAAACGCTACTAGTTTTCCCCTCTCCATCTCTCCTGCTTTCTGCTTTCCAGCCCCACCTGGCCCCAGCGCTGGCCCTTCCCGCTTCTCATATCCCACTAGACAGTCTAACCCGGCTTCCCCCACTCCCCGCCCCTGCCACCTGTGTCAACACACCCCAGGTCCTCCCCAGCACAAACTCGCCTTCCCTGGGGAGTCCTCACCAAGACCCATTAAAGCCTGTACAGCTACCTCCTAACTCTCAGGCCCTCCAGGGTCAGCCTTAACCACTGTCCCCCTTTTCCTCTGCATCTAGGTGGCCCCGACCTTCTCTATTCTCTGTGCAACCTCTGACACTTACCTTTCCTCGGGGCCCCCGCCCAATCTCACCTAGTCCTCTCCTACCTCTTCAGAAACTTGCCCATCTTTGGATCACAGACTGCCCGCATGCTGGGTCGGCACTGCCCCCAAAAGCTGCCTTACCCCCAACACCCTCCTTGGCTCCCCAGTGCCTCCCCAGTTCAACTGCAATCTTGTGGGCTGCCGCACCACTCCGCCGGCCAGCCCCTGTGTGCCCCATTTACCGCCCCTCCTCAAGCCCCTTCCTCCTTCCCATGCCAGCGTCAGGCTCCCCTGTGCTGCACTGGCCGGGGCAGACGGACACTTCCCCAAGAACAAAGAGAACAGCCAGACAGAACACGCTTCTCTTCTGCTCTTGAAAACTGTGACAAAGATCAAAAGGACCAAGACTCCAGAGAGGAGAGAACTGAGGAGCTATAAACACACAGCCAGCTTCCCCATGAGCTATTTGCCAGATTCAAAAGCTGGAAGGGGTTGGACACTTGAAAAGCTAAGCAGAAAGCCTCCAAGAAGTCCAGGGACTTGGGCTAGGTTTTTTGCTTGTTTGTTTTTTGACACACTCACTGCATTGAGGACACCAAATTAGGATTCAGGACCCTGTGAACACTGCAGGCTCCAGTAGAAAGCCCCACAGGCCCCCACCGCATAAAGGGAGTGAACCTGGCCCCTCCCAGTCTGCTTACAGCACCCAGGTTTACTCCCAGGTCAGGCCTGCTTGGACCTGGGCTGTGACCTCTCCCTGATCCGCTCTCCCCTCAGGCTGCACCCAAAAGGCAGGGCAAAGCTCTCTGGAGGAAAATGTCATAATCTAGTGCTGCTATAGTCTATGCATGATAATGCAGCAACTACATCAAAAAACTGCTAAGCATGCAGGGAGAGAGGGTGTGTGGTGAAAACCAAAAGAAAAGAAAGAGACAACAGAAAGAGAAGTCATTCGGATGATGCAGATCTGAGGTGAGCAGGCAAGAATTTTCAACTATGACACTATGGTGAAGCAAAGAGAGGGAAGCAGGGGGAAAACAAGTGAAAACGTGAGGAAATCCCCAGAGAATTAAGATCTATCAACAAAGAATTTAACGGAATGGAACTTCTCTAAATGAAAAAATAGAACAGAAAGCAAAAACTCAGTGAATGGGTTTCATGTCAGATACAGAAACAGGATCAGTAAATTGGAAGCAGATTAATGGAAAATATCCCACGTGAAGCAGAGGGAAAAAAGGATGGGAAGTACTTTTTTTTTTTTAATTTCTCAGTCACCTTTATTGGGATCCTGGCATATAGAGGGACATTACCTTACAGACAGGTAAGGACAATTACAATCTACTACAGAAGGAAAGTACTTTTTTTTTTTTTTTTTGGAAAATACTTATTTTTTAAGAGTAGACACAGCTAGGTCTTACCACCCACCCGGGAGCTTCCCAAATTGCCCCTTCCTGCAAGTGCTCTGGCCTGCGATCTGGGCTGGGCCCGGCCACCCAGTGCCAGCCACCGCCGGCCCACATCTCCGCTCTTCCCCCGCCTGGTACAGTGAGTTCCTCAGCTGTAAATGAACGGTCTGTGGGGGTGGCATGCAGGGTGTGTGTGCTCCGGCCCTGTGCCCTTTCCTCTAGCGCACGTGGTCAGCACCCACCCCTCAGCCTCCCCAGAGACACGAGGACACTGTCCCAGGTTGCAAGGCAAAGGTACCGCAGCATGGGTGTGGGAACCGGGGGCCACCTGCACCCGTGGACACCTCCCTCCCAGCCTGCTGACCTGAGTGCACGGTCCAGCGTCAGGCCCGAGAAGTCGAAAAAGCTGAGGTACTCCCCGGCCACCAGCCTGCTGAATTCATTGCTGCCAGGAGAACACAGGTGTTCATTAGAAGCAGGCACAGCAGACGATGGGGGAGGAGGGGCGCAAATGTGTACAGAGGGCCCCCCCAGACCCTCTTAACCTAGTCAGACCTGAGCACGCCCAGGCCACTCCCTCCACTGGCTAGTGGCGCTTTGACCATTCTACCTTGGGCTGGGTGCCAGAGGTCTCAGCCAACACCTCCCAGAAAGAGCCAGTCAGGGAAAGGGGAGAGGGGAAGAGCAGGGTAGACTGGAGGGCAGGCGGGCGGGCGGCCGTGAGAAGGCCAGTCTCTGGAACCCGCCCATCCGTGGAAGGTGGGGCACAGCAGGCTGCAGGAGCAGCTGGCAGAGAGCTGGGTGACAGATAAAGTTTGGCGACAGACCACAGGACATGGGCAGGGGACAGATGTGAGCCACGACAGAGGAGGCTGCCTTCATGGGAGCCGTCCTGAGGTCAGGACACAGCACCAGCCCACAGCAGGTTGGGTGAGTCGCCACGGGATGGGCAGAGGCTGAGCCCACAGCAGAAGGGGTGCACAGCTGGCTGGCAGCAGGGGGCAGGAAGGCAGCCCCTTAGCGGTGGCTAGTGAGCGCCAGTAAAGGAGGCAGAGTTAGAGCTCCAGAGGTTGGGTGTCCTGAGGCCTGGGAGAGAATATTTCAGAAGACCGCAGTGCTGAATTCTCCCCAGAAAAGAGCACCACTTTCCACCTGAGTCTACTGGAGCCTTGCTCAGTAGCTCCCCATTGGCAGGAGATGTGGGGAGTAAAGGACCGTGGGAGAGCCGCCATGTGGGTTCCACCTCCAAAGCGGGGGATTCTTCAGGGCAAATGGCTCTGTTTCTTCAACAAATACAGAGCGCTAAAAAAGGAGGCACTGGACTTTGTCAATTTGCCTGTTCTGCTCCCGCTCCATCTCTGGTGTATCCTCTCACTGTCCCTGCACCTCTGGCCTGTACCCCAGTTC